GGCACCCCTTGACCGGCATTATTAACACAGAGTAGCTCAATGCATTGCACTAGTGTCCACTACATAGCTATTTGCTAATCAAATGTCCCAGAACCAGCTAGTCCTTCTCTTGTTTTCGTCTAGCAAACACTCAGAAACTGCCTTTATCTTGCACAACAAAAGAATAACCTATGAGTTGGATGTAATGTGGGAATTAAATAAAATATAATACCAGTATTTAATTGTGTCCTGAAGGAAATGTTTCTCATTGTGGTAGAGAGGGAAGGAACGTCACTGTAAGTCAAGGGACCTGTCTTCTCACTGTAGCTCTGGTTTTGATCTTGGTCACATGACCTAACAGCAGCTCTCCCATGTATCCAATTGGAATAACAAGTAATGTGTTATATTTGAAAACCCTTCAGAAATAAAAGTACAAATTAATACTAGGTACCATCATTATATAAGACACAAGTTAAACTGGAAAGTGGAACTCCAGATGCAGGAGCCAGGGAAGGTGTCCTGGATTTCATTTTTCCCATCTTACACACAACTCCTGTGCCTAACTTAGTGCATGATCAACAGTTGGTACTCAGAATGTGTTTATGGAATGAGTGAATGATCCTCAACTGCAACATAGAATCATAAAGATGATCTTAGATGGCTGTTCTTGTCTCTTTGTTTTTAGATGAGGATTTTCATATATTATTGTCATGCAGTTGAATTGTTAAAAATTTATGTAAGGAATATAGAGTCATAAGACAGAGTTTCTGCCCTTAAGAAACTTCCTATCTCATTGGTTCACAAGACTTAATTAGCTCCTGTCTCCTCAAATTAAACAGTAATAAAAGGCAATAGGAGAGTTCTAGTTAAGTTTATTTGGATGTAGGGAGGAATATTTACTCTGGCCAACTTAAGGGGGAAAAATATATGGCTCACAGAAATGAAGGACATGTGCAGAGCCAAGTCCAGCCAAATCCTGTACCTCCCAGGATCTGGGGGATGGACTAGGACACAGGCTTATCAGGTCTCTGCAGCCTGGCTGGTTTAGCTCTATCCATTTTCTCCTTCCGTCACTCCATACAAGACTCACATTCTTGGGAGATAAGAGTCCAGCTGGCATGACGAAGCATACATGCTCACAGTTTGGCCAAGAAAGAGCAGCTAGGCAAGACTTCATGAAGTACAGACCATGTAGCTCCCCGAGCACAATTCAGGTGCACCTCTGAGATGCAGTGGGTCCTATCAACAGTATTATAAGAGTTCAGAGAAGGGAGATTCTGGAGAGACTTCACAGATGCAAAGGGGTTCAAGCTGGACCTTTAAGGATGGGTAGGAGTGAGATAAATGAAGAGGAAAGATTTCAGCTGGGGCACAAGAGGAGCAAAGGTTTAGGGTTAGGATTGAGCCTGATGTGTTCACCAAAGGCAGAAGTGTTGGAGACGGAGAAGACAGATGTTAATAAAAGGTCCTTGGATTTATTTCTGTAGAGAGTGAGAATAGATAGCAGGTTTAAACAATAAACCAATGGTTCAGGCAGAGAAACAGTAAATGTAGAGCTAATTGTACAGAAAACATTCAGGGAAAGCATCGGGGGAAGCCTATGTATTTTTGAAAGAAAACCAGAAAGGTCAATGGTACATTGGAAGAAGCTTCTGGGTATGAGATTGAGAACCCAGGTGAAGGAGAGATACCTTGAAGAAGGAGAGTCGCTGCTTGTCCAAAGGCTGAAGGACAAGATGGGGACTAGATGGGGATGGAGATACCAGTATAATGGTTTAGATGACACTTGTTCTAAATACACTAAGTCTTAGCAACATGCGGTAGGAATCACTGCTGAGTGAAGGGGAGCAATGTTGGATGAGCCTCAGAGTGAAGATGCTTTAGAATATCCAATGTGCTCAGGCCACAGTAGTTAGGAATCAACAAGGGGTCAGTGAACAATTACAAAACAACGCCTCTGCTTGGTTAAAGTTAGCATGAATTTGAGCAAAGTTTCCAGATGACTGGATGGAAACTCTTTTTGGTTAATATTCAAAAGGTAGGGTTTCCAAACCTTTGGAGCAGATTTTAAAGATAAGAGAATTTATTCAGGAATTTAACTTTTGTTCCTAGACTTAAAGGATTATTGGAAATATTTGGAAGACAACAGATTGGCATATTTTGTGATGATTTGCACCCTTTATTTACATACGGAGCGGTTGCCACAGAAGTCTCTTGATCTTATATCATTTCAGAAAATAAATGTATTATTAGAAACACCAGGCGTTTTAGTGTTTGACTTCGCACTGAAATAGCACTGAATAGAATATGTTTAGCCATTTTCAACCTTCTTCTGTGCTTCTCCAGTATTTATCCTGGAGTTATCTCAAAAATGGACTCAAGGAGAAAGCATGAACCTACAAGCAATCCTTAACCTCAAATATTTGATCTATGTCATCACATCTATGTAGCTCAGAATCTGCTTAGAAAAGACAAACCAGGGAGTTTGGCTTCTCTTTACGCCTTTGAGAGAGTCAACCTTTAAGGCTTATTAGTGAGCCAGATTCTCCCTACCCCTAAGCCATCCAGCAGTGACTCTTTCTCAGTCTGCTTAAGGTAATGCACAAATAATTGCTTTATGTCATAGACCTGTTTCTGCAAAAATTCAAATAAGCCAAATGCTATTTGCTCCCCCCAAAAGCCCACGAATCATGTTTTAATAAAAAATAATCACTTATTATGTATCTGTTTAAAATGTCATGTATTGGATTTACTTACACTGAGATACATCAACACTTTAGAAACATAATCTATGGGGTATCTCTCTGGTCTTGAAGGGGCTTATTAGTGCACAGTGTATAATTGTTCACAAGGAATAGTCTAGTTGCTGATAGGGCTAATCATAATAGTCTCAATAACTACCATGGAGAATTCTATGAAGTTGAGTTTGTACTGAGTTCTCTACAAATATTGTTTATTGAATATAGATCATCACAAGAGGGATAAGAATGTAAATAATCATAATCAATCATAGAAAGTAGATAGTATTACGACAACCTACTTTACATATGAGTAAACTGGGGCTTAGGAAGATTAGGGCATCACACAATAAGAAATAAGGTCAGAATTGAGGCCACGTGTGGATAGTTCCAAAGCCCATGCTCTCACTGTGCATTATCATTTCCTGACTTACCAAGTGCTCCCATATGTGACATTATGCTGGCTTCACCAGCAGCCTGTTCCCTTACTTGTTGTTTGTCTTTAATATTTTGTAATTAAAAACTTCTAAACTTTTTATTTTAAATTAATTTTAAAATTAATGATGTTGTACAGAACAGTACCAAAAAAAAAAAAAAAATCCTGTATATCCAGAGTCCTCAAATGTTAATCTTACATAACCACAGCACAATGACCAAAATCAGGAAATTAACATTGATGCAATTCTGTTACATCATCTACAGACCTTATTTGAATTTCCCCAGTTACCCCATTCATGTCCAGGATCTAAATCAAGATGACATGTTGTCATGTCATTTAGTTGTCATGTCTCCTTGGTCTCCTTAGGGGCCAACCCTATACTCGCATGACCTCAGGGGTGAGCACCTCCTCCCATTTTGCATCCTAGCCACTTTGATTGATTCATCCCTTTAAACTAGAACAGTTCCTAGTCTTCCTTTGTCTTTCATAACCTCAACACTTTAAAAAAGTACTAACCAGTTATTCTTGCAGAATGTTCCTCATTTGGGTTTGTCTGATGTTTCCTCATGAATAAATTTGGGTTGCGCATTTTTGGTAAAAATACTATGGAAGTTATGTTGTGTCCTTCTCAGTGTGTCATACCAAGAGACACATGATTTGTCACATCACTGGTGATCTTAACTGTGATCATTTGGTTAAGGTAGTATCTGCTGGATTTCCCCACTATGAAGTAGATATCTTTCCTCTTTTATTAGTATTTTCTAGGGGAGCTACTTTGCAACTATGTAAATAGCCGGTTTCTCATAATACCTTTGCCACTAATTTTATCATTCATTGATAATTCTTGCCTAAAACAATGATAACTATAGTATTTTAAAATGGTGGCATTCTCTTCCCATCATTATTCATACATATATTAGTTAGAATTCCATTGTAAGGAATAGCTTTGTCTTCTTCCCTTCTTACTCAATTATTTATTTATATCAGCATGGACTCATGGATTCTTACCATATTCTGTGGGGTATATTAATATCATTGGCTATTTTGTTTGTCCAAACTGTCCCCTATTTGGCCAAAAGACCCCTTCAAGTTTGGCTGTTATCCTTTTGACATGTTTCCCATCATTTTGTTTTATTACTTTTATTTTTTTAAGTGAATGGTCTTTTTATTGGAAAAAAAAAAAGACTTGCATTTGCAACTTGAAATGGGTGTAAATTGTAATTTCTTGAACAGCAGTGTTGATGCTTGTGCTGAAGTCCAGAGAGCCACAGCTTCCTCTGCTGGCTCCAAGTCATGGTTCAGAAGGTTTTAAAAACAGAGAGTCTAACCTTCCCTTGGTAAAGGTTTCTTTTTAAAAATTAGTGTGAATGGTGACAGCCTGACACCCATTTCGCTCTAGTACAATACAGACAATGCTGAACCAGCACACACAGCATGCCTTGAGGACGAGGGTCATCATTACCCTGGGTGGGGGCACACGGAAGTACGAGAGGACTGTCCTGCTAGGTGGGGCTATGTCTAGACACTTTATCCTTCACCCATGTTTCTGCACAGCATCCTGCGATAAACCAATTTTAAATGTGTGTTTCCAGTAAACCAGCAATGGCAGTTTATACTAACGAATTGAATTAGAACCCATTTGAATAAGTTTTTTTTTAAATTTATAAATCAGTTTATTTACAGATTTTATTTTTTCTTAAAGTACACTTCAGTTAACAAATCTATTTACACAGGTATACATGGGAACTCATCCCAGTTATTTTACAGATCATACTTACAAACCACACCCCAAGTCTTCTGTGCAAAGCTGCACTGGATGTGAATTTGAATAAGTTTTAAATTTGTTTTTTCAGTTTTTATTTTTAATACAAATGCCTGACTGTGCTCAGTTGTCAAGCTGCATGCATGAAAACCTGGCCAGCCCAAACAGTGTATTACTCATGAGCAAATGGAACTGCAAGGAGTCTGCTAGGTGCTTCCTTATCATTAAGGTAGTACAAGTGTTTATATCATAAAACTGAGGTGTAGCTTGACCTTTAGGGCACAGGACCACCAACTAATACATGCAGATTTTGTGTGTGTGGACCGAAGGCACTTTTGACATTCAGTTTTGCTATACAGAAACAGAATGAGTAAATGAACTTTTTTTTTTTTTTAAGAGGTAAGTACAAGATTCAATTCGATTCTTCTAGAGGAGGAAAAGGAGTTGAAAGTAGGTCTTCGTTTGGCAATCATCATCTGTATGAATTCGTCATAGCTGACTTGTCCATCTCCATCAATACCTGGTTCTCTGATCATTTCATCTTCTTCATCCGTTAGTTTTTCTCCTAACTTGGTCACGCCATGACGTAGCTCTGCTGCACTGATGTAACTGTTGCCATCCTTGTCAAAGACTTGGAATGCCTGGCGGATTTCTTCTTCACTGTCTGTATCTTTCATTTTTCTAGCCGTCATAGGCAAAAGTTCTGGGAAGTCAATGGTGCCATGACCATCAGCATCCCCCTCATCGATCATATCCTGCAATTCAGCTTTTGCTGGGCTCTGACCCAGTGACTCATGACGGTTGTTGTGATGGTCACCGCCGTCTTTGTCAAATAGGGAGAAAGCCTCCTTGAACTCAGCAGTCTGTCCTTCAGTCAGCTGATCATCCATGGTGCAAGGAAGGGAGGAAGAACAGAGGGAGGGAGGGTAGCTGTGCCAGTGCAGAGGTTGTCCCGGGAGGGGTGTGGGCAGGCGGTGCCCGGCGGCTGTGAGGACTGGGCAGAACCCGCCAGGCTCCCAGCACCACTGCCCTCCCATCATTTTGTTTATTTTATTTTATTTTTTTATTTTTCCAGATTTATTGAGGTATAACTGACATACAACATTGTCAAAGTTTAAGGTGTGTTCCATGTTCACGTGATACATTTATATATTGCAGTGTAATCACTATCATAGCTTTAGCTAATACCTCCATCTTGTCACATAATTACCATTTCTTTTTGGTGGTTAGAACATTTAAGATCTTCCTTCTTTAGCAACTTTCAAGCATATGATATAGTATATCTAACTATATATAGTCACAATGTTGTGCATTAGATCCCTAGAACTTACTCATCTTCTAACTGGAAATTTGTACCCTTTGGCCAATATCTCCCCATTTCCCCCAACCCCCAGGTTTTGGTAACCAGTATTCTTTTTTTTTTTTTTAACGGGTTTGTGGCTGACACCATGCGTTTATTTATTTATTTATTTATTTGAAGATTTTTTTTGTTGTTGTTATGTTAATCCCCATACATTACATCATTAGTTTTAGATGTAGTGTTCCATGATTCATTGTTTGTGCATAACACCCAGTG